AATTCTCCGTGATTCGAGGGCTTGAGAAGCGTCTTTCTCGAATGTAGGATGATGTAGACCTCATTGTGATGTATTTAATCGCCATGAACGTCGAGCAACACGTTGTTGTTACGGGTTGATCTCCAGGAAGAACTCCGTTGATCACTCCTTTGTTGAAGAACTAAGCACTTGATGATTGATCTCTCTGTTTGTGGATGCCTTCACCAATTGCGGAGTGTTCTTCTCCAACTCTGAATGTCCCTAAAGAGTTATGTAACCCCTCTATTTATAATGGTAGAGGATGGACAGTCCAGCTACATATGAACTCTCTTGCTTGATTCTGATTGGTTCATGTGAGTCATCAAACTTATCGCATAAGCTATGTGATAAGCTTGTTGGTGATTGGCCATGATATGTTATTTTAGACACGTCGCAACTCTTGATTGGTCACTGTTTTAGATTGGGATTGCCACATCATTTCACACGTGGCGTCATCTTATTGGCTTTGAGCTTGACTGGATATGCCATGTCACTTGACACATGCCATGAGTCTGGGCCTTAAGATGAAATGGACCTTGGGCTTGAAAATAATAAAACGGGCTAATTTAATTTGTAAAGTCCAAATTAATTGCTTAACCCAATTGAATTTAATTCAAATTTTGTATGAATTAGACCCAATAAATTTTATATGTCTACAAATGCCCCCTACTTCAAGATTGTCTAGGCGTCAACTTGTTGAACCACCTTAGACGAGGCTTAAAGCACCTGTGACAATAATTACTCCATATTTTTTCATGAAGCATCTGCGTATTTGGATAAGCGGTAACATTTTTTTTCCTCAAAGAACACATGATAATATTCAAGAGGCCTTAGTCAAGACATAGCACGTCTATGATAAAGTTTTTTATAAAAATAAATGTTGCAGTTCCTACGCCAAACCAATCTAGCACCAAAGTTTGATTTAGGAAAGGAAACGGACTATTATTTGTCGCAACATNTGTGATAATATAGCAAAAAGCCCTAAAAATCTTCTACAAGATCTTCTATATCAAACCCCACCTAAATGTTATTTTTCTGGCCTCGAGATACCCAATAATGCAGTAACAGAAAGATCAAACTCACCTAAATGTCATCTATAAATCTACAGATTAAGAAGTTGGTGACCTCCAAAATTCACGAAGCTGAAACTAGACTTGTTCTCTAAGATGATTATAACAAAAAGGAAAGAATTAACAAGGAAAATTTTATATGCTTTAACTTCTATGACAAAGAAAAAGAAGGAGCCGAAAAAAGATAAAAGTTCCGGTTACCACAACTTGAAAGTTTCTTTTCTAGCAAATCTCAAAGTTTCTAATACGAATTCAAAATCCACAAACTAACTTTTGTTTTTTCAAACTAGTAAACCCACGAACTCAAACCCTCATTTTTTTAAACTAGAAATCAAAAATTGATATAATACAAAGAAAAAAAATGGAAATGCATAATCCCTAAGAAGAATAACAGATCTACAGAAAAATACCAGAAGAAAAGAGGAAGGAGAAACAAACAACAGATTGTGCATTTCTATGTCTGTGGAAGAGCCTTCGCCGGAGAAAGGGGCATGTCGATATTTGTGAGAGTTTTGAGGGCTCAAGGGTTTGTTATGTCTACAAAGTGAGATAAAAATAAAAGAATTAAAAATTTACTAAGAAAAGGTTATGGATCGGGGCTTAGCAAACTTAGGAGCGGGAAAATTAGGTGGGAAACAAACAACCGTGCCCACAATCTTTTTTTTCACATGACCGTTGCGATAGATGATTCTATAGCAACAGTTATGAAAATCGTCGCCAAAGTATCATCTATTGCAACGGTTATTGTACTAATGTAACGGTTTGCTTTCAGAAGTGTTTCAGTAGGTCTTAGAGGCTTAGGGAACGCCTATAATCGTTGCAATAGATTGTATATAGCAACGGTTATAGGACCGTTGCTAAAAAAACCGTTGCCTGTTTTCTAGTAGTGTACATAACTCCACAGTCTTTGTTTCAGGAAGATCGGGCAGTTATATTCAAACTCCTGAATGTTGAGTACAGGGACGGTTGTTTGACCTTAAACACTAGATAACACTTGAGGCTTCATGCTATTGCGACGTGCCTGTCATGTTAATCCGAAATTTCGACTCGGCGGTACTTCTATCTATCGCGATAGAGTTGAATTTGGCACCGATATACTTGCTGCTAAATTGAAAGCTTCGTGCAATTGGCACCGATCCCTATAGAACCAAGAAGCTTCGTGCAGTTAGCACCGTGAGCTCTGTCATCTCTATCATCTTTTTGTTTTATTTTTGTAGCCTTGGCAAGAGAACTTTATGGAGAACATAATCTTCTTGTTGTTTGACAAGTAAACACAGGGACCGACTTCTTATTATAGTGGCCAAAGACGCACATTGTAAATTCCCAATTCCAATTTTCTTGAAGAAGTGACGAAGCACTCCATTCTTGAAATTTGTCATAGAAGGCTAGATGAAACATTTCCACCTTGAGGCTTGGTGAGAAATTTGCAGCGACCGTATTCCATCCTTGACGAGCGAGCACGTGGCACATCTCATCCTTGCAGAGCGACCGTATTCTTCTTTGCAAGCGAGCATGTGGCGCATCTTATTCTTGTAGCTTGGCGAAATTGACACTACCTGGAGCAGTCCTTTCCAACCTCGGCGAGCGAGTACTTGGCAAATCTCCACAAAAATATTCATCCTTTGATGTAGGTGCGATCAAATCACCAGCCGCTTATTCCTAAAGAAACATGACTCGAAGGGACGCAGCATATCAAAAATTAACAGCCAAGTTCCTTGAGGATTAGCCGCAATATTTCTTTTTCAAAATAGATACACATGTTCAGCAATTTGACTTTGCAGCACTATGCAATCTCACCAAAAGATCCATATCTCGAGATCGGAGCGCTCCAATTGTCATCCGTTTGATTCCGCAGGATTAGAACTTCATACACTGCAACATCTCCAAAATGTAGGGCCAAAATCCATTAGGACAAGCGGGAATAAATTTTTGAAACTGATGCTCTTGTCTGTCGTTTTTACTTCACAGCACTGTACGTTCTCGTTGATAAGTTGATATCTCGAGCTAGGAGTGTCCCAATCGCGAGCCGTTTGCACCATTGGAAAGAAAACTCCGTCACCTATAACACCTGAAAATTTCGCAGCAGGATTCCCTCCAGAATGGCTGCAATAACATTCTGAAATTGCTCCTGATATCTGCCGCACTTGCAATCCAGCTTTGTGCACTTTTGTAGAAAACTTCATATCTCGAGCTAGGAGACTCCAAATTGCGATCCGTTTGTGCCGTTTGAAAGTACACTCATAGAGCTGCAATACATATGAATTTCGTGGCAGAACTCCTTCCGAGATAGAAACAGAAAATTCTCAAAGTCCACCTAGCTGCAGTAACTTTCAGATTCGTGTAGTTCCGGCGAAAAAATCATATCTTGAGCTAGGGGCCTCCAAATTGCAAGAGGTTTGTGTTCTTACAAACTAGACATCAAAATCTACAACATATAAAATGTTAGGAGCAGAACGTCTTCAAGAAAGAGTCCGGATATCAGACCGAGGTGTCATACAAGATGTGGAGCCACCCCTTCACCAACTATTGCACTTGATTTGTTGATAGTCTTGAAGTTCATCAATGGCGGCTCCCATGGTGATTGGGACCTTCAACCAACAATTGAGGATGGCATCAAATGTCGTCATACAGACTTGGAAAAGCATTTAGACACGTCAGCAATAAAGCCTAGTTTACGATCATCTTCATGATTTAGGCTTTTGTATAGAAAAATATCTAGTTCCTGTTGTTTCTACATTTTTGGATGTATCAACTTTTGTACTATTGAAGCAATAAAACATCTTTTATACTTCAACACAAACCGTCTCCTTTTCCTCATAGATATGTGCCTCTACACTTGGAAGAATTAATGTAATGATCCGATGATGCCAAATTTTTATTTTTTTAAAACTCATGCGACTGAACTTAGAAAGAAACTCTAAGCTGCCTACGTACCTCGGTGAAGAGGATCAAGTCATAACGTAGTTCAGAGGGATGAGTTTTTTTTTGTCCTAATTTTTGCCTAGGCCGCCTCTCGCGAGGTTTTCAACCTAGCGGACTTTTTTTTTTTGGCCGTACACAGTTTAGACTCATGTGGGTCAGGAGTGTAGCAACGTGCAGTTTAGGCTCATGCATCAAGGAGCGTCATGACTTGTAGTTTAGGCTCGTACGTCGAAGAGCGTCATGACTTGCAGTTTAAGCTCGTACGTCGAGGAGCATAGGCGACTTTCATGGGAAGTACTGCTTCAGAAATTTTTCGTTGATCGGACCAACTCTGAGACCGTCCTTATCGATAATTTTGTATGCGCCGCTTGAATAGGCTTCCTTCAAAACATATGGCCCATCCCATTTTGAGGTAAACTTGTCGCCTATGCGTTTGTTGAGGATTATGGGTCGTCGAACGGCTAGGACTAAGTCTCCCACTTGGAATGATCGTGGCTGCACTTTCTTGTTGAAGGCTCTAGCTAGTCGAGCTTGATAGCACTCCAATTTTTGTTGCGCTTCTAATCTTTTCTCATCCAAGGCCTCTAACTCTGCTAGGCGAAGTTGAGCATTCTCTTCGGATGTGAGCCCTTTTTGGATTGCGATCCGCAATGATGGAATTTGTTGCTCCAACGGAAGGATTGCTTCTACGCCATACACCAAAGAGTACGGAGTTGCTTGTGTAGCAGTTCTGAAGGTTGTCCGGTATGCCCACAAAGCTTCACCAATTTTCTCATGCCAGTCTCTCTTGTTCTTTGCAACAACTTTCTTCAAAAGGTTACCAAGCGTCTTGTTAAAAGCTTCAGCAAGACCGTTAGCGGGTGCATTATACATTGAAGACTTATGTTTCTTGAAGCCGAACTTCTCGCACAAACTCTTCATGAGCTTGTTGTAAAATGGCATTCCATTATCGGTGATTATGTATCTTGGTATGCCGTACCTATAAATTATTTATGACTTGATAAAATCGAAAACGATCTCCTTTTTTACCTCCTTGAGTGGAGCAGCTTTGGCCCACCTAGAGAAGTAGTCTGTAGCGGCCAATATGTAAATATGTCCCTTTGATGACTTTGGAAGCGGTCCAACAACGTCAAGTCCCCATTCATCAAAAGTCCATGAAGCTACAGTTGGATGAAGAGGCACTGGAGGTTGGTGGATGTAGTTAGCATGAAATTGACACGCTTGGCATCTTTTGGCATGATCCATGCAATCCTTCACCATTGTCGTCCAGTAGTAGCCCATCCTCTTGATGCGGAAATGGAGCTTTGTACCCGATTGGTGTGCTCCACATGAGCCAGAATGTGCTTCCTCCATCGCTTGGCGGGCTTCTTCTTTGTCAAGACATCGCAAGAATAGTCCTTCAAAAGAGCGGCGAAACAATATCCCCTTATAGAAGATGAATCGTGGTGCTCTTCGTTTGATGTTTGTTCTTTGTCGCGGATCTTCAGGTAACTTTCCATGTTCAAGGTACTCTATCAGTGGTTGCCTCCAATCTTCTTCTTCAATCACTCGAACAGACGTATGATGGCTTTCGTTGATTTGAAGATCCAGAAGTCTAGGAATAACCCATCGATGACACACATATACCTTTGTTGACTCATTCTCTCCAAGTGCCATCGTCGTGGCCAAGTTAGCCAAAGCATCAGCCTTGCGATTTTCTTCTCTTGGGACGTGGTTTAAGAACACTCGGTCAAATTTTTCAAGTAAACCAGAAACGTATTCATGGAATGGCAATAGATCTTCCTTCTTTACCTCGTAACTTCCCAAAAGTTGGTTGATGGTCAGCTTAGAGTCGCCGTAGATCTCCAACTGTAGAATCTTCATTTCTAATGCCATTTCGAGTCCGACGATCAAAGCTTGGTACTCCGCGGCATTGTTGGAGCATGTTTCACCTAAAACAAAGGAGAATGGCAAGACTTGTCTTTCTGGAGAGATCAACACCACACCTGCCCCCGCACCGTTACGACGTGCAGATCCATCAAAGAACATTGTCCATGGTGGAAACTCTTCGATGAACAAAACGTCTTCATCTGGAAACTCATCCGAAAGCTCCCATTCCGCCGGAAGAGGGTGATCAGCCAGAAAATTGGCTAGTGCTTGTCCTTTCACAGCTTTTTGAGGTGTGTATGTGATCTCATATTGGTTAAACAATATGGACCATCTTGCTAGGCGTCCAGAAAGAACAGGTCGAGTCATCACGAACTTCACGGGATCTGCTCGAGAGATGAGTTTGATTGTGTATGCTTCAAAATAATGCCTTAGCTTCTTTATCGCATAAAGTAACGCTAAGCATATTTTCTCAACAGGCGTATAGTTCATCTCAGCTCCTATTAGAGTTCGGCTAAGGTAGTACAAGGCTTGTTCTTTTCCTTCCTCATTCTCTTGAGCAAGCAGTGCTCCAAGTGAACGTTCCTGTGCCGCGATGTAGAGTATCAATGGCTTCCCAAGCATTGGCGCCCCTAACACAGGTGGATTCAGCAAGTATTTTTTTATGCTTTCAAAAGCATTTTGACATGACTGATCCTAATGAAAAGGGATGTCCTTCCTCAATAGATGATTGAAGGGTTGACACCGTCCGGCTAGATTAGAGATGAACCTCCGGATGAATGCTAAGTTTCCTTAGAGACTTCGAAGCTCTCTCAAGTTCTTTGGCTTGGGCATTTTCTGAATGGCGTCAATCTTTGCAGGATCAACTTCAATTCCACGATGACGCACAATGAAGCCAAGAAACTTTCCTGAGGTAACTCCAAATGCACACTTGAGTGGATTCATCTTCCGGTCAAATTTTCTTAACCTTTTAAAAACAATTCGAAGGTCTTCAAGGTGATAACGCCTATTCTTCGTCTTTACCACCAAGTTATCAACGTAGCATTCAACCCTCTTATGAAGCATGTCATCAAAGATGTTTTGCATCGCACGTTGGTAGGTGGCACCGGCATTCTTCAGACCGAAGGGCATCACTTTGTAGCAATATATCCCTTTTGGAGTTCGGAAAGCAGTACACTCTTCATCCTTTGGAGACATTCTGATTTGATTGTATCCGGAGGACCCATCCATGAATGACATAGCTTCATGCCCTGTTGTAGCATCAACCATGAGTTCAATAATTGGCAGCGGAAAGTCATATTTTGGACATGCCTTGTTTAGGTCTCGAAAGTCAACACAAACAAGTATTTGACCATTCTTCTTCTTGACAGGTACAATATTCGATATCCATGATGGGTACTTCACCTCTCGAATAAATCCCGCCTCAATAAGCTTGTTGACTTCGACTTCAATTTGTGGTACTAGCTCAGGTCGGAATATGCGTTGTGACTGCTTCACAGGGCGTGTTACACTTTTGATCCCCAAATGATGAACGACTACCTTAGGACTAAGACCAGGCATTTCTTTTATATGACCAAGCGAAGACATCTTTGTACTCAGTCAATAACTTGGAGTATTCCTCCTCCTCCTGAGGCGTAAGAAGCGCACTAATGAAGGTGGGGCGTGGATGTTCCGGAGTGCCTAAATTGAGTTCCTTAAGCTCATCCACAGTCGATTGTCCGCCATCTTCTAGTTGAGGGGGAGCCTCGTGTACTTCATCATCAATGTCAAGGCATGGGATATCTTCCACAGTTATGTGATAGGATGTTTCCACAAAGTCTAACTTTTCTGTTTGACTTCCTTGGATAGTTTGCACGGCTTCTTTCTCTTTCTCTGCTTCTTTACGAGGTTGGCGAGTGTAAACAATGTTTTCCCTTTGCACCTTCAGCGGACCATCTGTGGATATTGACAAAATAGATTTCCTCTTCATACGTGATGAGAAAGCACTACAGATTTCTTTGTCAGCAACAACTTCAAAATGATCCCGCTCCTCATGGACTTGCTCCTTATGTTTTGACAGTATCTTTCTAGATGGCGACTTCCTTGTGGTCCCTAGGCGACAAAAGATAGAGGTCTTTGAGGTAGTGGAAACTTCTTTTAGATGTTTGGAAGATACACGTTCACCTTTGTGACTTAGCCTTTCAAACACCGAGACCGAAGGGGTTGAGCCTCCAATGCGATCAAATACTGAAGCCCGTTGTTTTATTTTCTTGCCCTTAACTTCCTTCATCTCCTCTACCGAGGTGTATTGTGATGAAGCTATCTCTTTGCTTCTCTTTGATGAAATTCGAAGAGGCTCTGCCAAACTGAACCCCAACCCAAACTTTGGAGTGGCGACGTAGTGCCCTTGTTTTCTCAACTTCATTTGGGACTCATTGAGCCCATGTATCTTTTCACCAGTGACTTCGTCTTTGAGTTCTCCTAGTTGTGATGGATTGGAGAAGTCATAACCAGACTTTTCAAGCAGTATGAAGGCCTTAGGATCATAGTGCCCTTTTATTTTATCAGCTTGGAGATTGACTTTAGCAGACTCACAAGTCACGGATGGGATTTGTGCAACTGGGACAGTCATATGCTCCTTCAAATGTTGGATATCTTTGTGACTCACTTGCTTCTTTGGAGTACATTCCTGTAGCAAAGGTTGCCCTTTCTTTTGACGCTCACGTGGAACATAGAGAAAAACCAGATGCTCCTCAGTCTTTATCTGTATGCCACCTTCAGATGATGATAGCTTAATGGAGACTTCTTCCGTTCCCTTCTTAGGCAGCTTGGTGGCAGTCCATTGAGCCTCATTTTCCTCTTCTGACTTGACATCAGCTTCGTCATCTGATGATGGTTTCTCCACTTTCGGTTCACAAGAATCTAGGTAGAATTTTGCGTCTGCAAAGTATGACTCCGTCTCAGTGAAAGGCTTGATGTCTGCATCAATTTTGACTATCTCACCATCTCTTGTGTACTTCAGACATTGATGCAAAATAGATGATACCACCCCATTCTCATGAATCCAAGGACGTCCAAGCAACAAGTTGTATGATGTTTTAGCATCTATGACGTGAATCAGGGTGTTTGAATTCATCTCACCAATGGATAATCCTACGCAGATCATACCTATGGCTCGTTGTCCTCCTTGGTTGAAACCTTGGATTGTTAGGCTACTTTTGGATAGCTCATCGATAGAGATCCCAAGCTTTTTTTAGCACCATCTTTGGCATGATGTTGACAGCCGAACCATCATCAACAAGTATGCGATTGAGATGTTGTTCCCGAATGGACCCTACAACAAACAAAGGTCTGTTATGTGGCTTAGACCCCAGCAGCAAGTCATCATCTGTGAATGAAATGGTTGCACAACATGTCATAACTTTTCTGTTATCATGATGTTCTTGTGTTTTCATTGGAGTAGGCTCATCGTCGCTTTCCTTTGTTTCGTCGGTACTAGAAACTACATGAGTTGCACTAACATGACCTCCATGAACGAATTTTCCAGGAAAGAATTCACGCAATGTGATGGGCTTTCGGAACTTCGGCGATAAGGCACCATTAATCTTCTTACTAATGGAAGATTTGATAATTCTTGGTGGTTGTAGCCTATCCACATCATTTATTTTTGCTCTTGGCTTAGGAAGTGGTAGCCTTAGAACTTCTTGATGTCTTCGTTTCTTGTAAGTGACTAGAGTCCAACCCTCATTGTCTTTGTCTTTGGACTGAGTGTCCAGATCTAGTGAACCTTCAAGAGTTTTCCTTGGAAGATCCACTTCAACGGGCTCGAAATTTCCAAATTGTAAGAAGGCAGTGCTTGACGCGTTCTTCAACCTTGAACACTCCTTTTCTTTGAGTGCGATGCTTGCATGATTTGCTTCTGCAATCTCATCCATGTCTATGATGATTTTTCCTTCACTTACAAGAGTCATGATTTTCTCCTTCAAGATGAAGCATTTCTCTGTAGGGTGGCTAATGACGCGATAAAACTTGCAGTATTTCGGATCGCCAACTTTACCAATTTCCTCTTGCCTTTTTGATTAAGGGAGATCGATGACTTTCTTAGCAAGCAATTCGTCAAGGATTATGGGTACATCTGAATCTGGAAATGGATAACCTTCGCCTCTAATTCCTTCAAGGTGGTACGACGTTTCTCCTCTTTGGGATATTGACTTGGGGTCTTATCCTCCTTCACCTTTTTCTTGGTTGTGACTTTCACGGAAGTTGCTTTCACCGCCATAGATTCTTTGGTTTGGTACTTTGATGCAACATTTTTCTTGAACTCCTTCTGATCAGCAAATGGAGATGCCTTTCCATGACTTGCAATGCTTAACTCCATGTCGTGCGCTCGTGTTGCAAGTTCTTCAAAAGTCCGCGGTTTGATCCCTTGTAGAATGTACAAAAGGCCCCAGTGCATTGCTTGAATGCACATCTCCACAGCAGATATTTCCGAAAGGCGATAATTGCAGTCCAAACTTAACGCCCTCCAACGATTAATGTAATCCACCATGGGCTCGTCTTTTCTTTGCTTGGTGCCTGTCAACTCTATCATGCTTACAGTTCTTCGGGTACTGTAAAAACAATTGAGGAATTCCTTCTCAAGTTGCTCCCAACTATCAATGGACTCGGGCTCCAAGTCAATATACCAGTCAAATGCGTTTCCTTTCAGAGAACGAACAAATTGTTTTACCAAAAGGTCACCATGCGTTCCAGCATTGCTACAAGTCTCGACAAAGTAGTTCCCTTTGTCATCAAATTGATGCAGCTTTGGTGGTTGATAATTGGTGGGCATGGTTAAACAATCAATCCTCTTAGTATAAGGCTTAGAGTAGTACAACGAACTTTGCGATGGTCTGCCATATTGAGCTCTGATGGTGTTTGTTATCATGTCTTGCAATTTTTGGACAGATAACGCCGCAACTGAAGTAGATTGTTTTTCCTTTTGAATGTTTAACTTTGCAAATGATTCCTCGACAGCTGTTTTCTGGGAGGTGAAGACAGGCGAACGAGGAGGGACATGGCTCGACTCTCCAGGTGCATAGGCCTCCAATTTGTTCATGAGTTGAGCGATTTGAAGGTCTTTGTCTTCAACAGATTTCTTCAAGACCTCTATAGTTTGTTCCATCATGGCAAACTTTTCGTCCACGTTAGTTGCGTCAGTCATCAAGGCATTGACTTTCGTTGAAACTGAAGAATCCACCAAATCCTCAAATCCGCCAAGGTTTGAGGCTGTTTGAGAAAGTTCGTCAAATATCGAGAATGGGGTGTTGCCCCCAGAGATTGCGGTTGCGAACGTTATATGAGATCCGCTTTTCGTTGCCATCTCCAAGGAGGCGAAGTATTCGGATCCATCCAAGCCACTAGCCTTGAACTTGCTTCGAGTGATTGGGCCAACATGACTGAGCTCGGCGGATGCGGCAACAGTAGCATCTTTGCATGAAACATCAAACTTGCGGAAGGCTATTGTAGCAGTAGATCTGGAGTTTGTAGATTTCAACTTGCAAGAAGGAGAGATGAAGAGCAGAATTTGTCCCACTAGGCGTGCCAAAATTTGTTTGCAACAAATTATTTGTGATACAAAAATAAATTGCAACCACAATATAAATATGAAGAAACATAATTTTATTCATAAAATGACGCGGGTACAATTCTGTTTATCCCCTTAATTCTTCTCTCCTGATTATCTCGGTGATTCGAGGGCTAGAACAGCGTGTTTCTCGAGCGTAGGATGGTGCGGGCTTTCATGGATTTATTTGATATCCATGAAGTATGTTGTGGATCTTCTTGAAGTATTTGATTATCAAGAAATATCCTGCCACTTCTTGATCTCTTTGCGAATATCCCGTGAGCTTATGGGATTTTCGAGATGATCTCCATTTTTTGAGATATTTTTTTAAGGATTATGTAACCCTTTTTATAAGAGTGATCTAGGGTTTTGGTAGAGTAGCCTCTACGCAACACTGATAGACTACTAGAATTTTAAGAAGTCTTGTAGTATCTTGAATTTAGGATTTAACTCGATCCATTAAGATTTCGATGTCTACAAATATAAAAGTAGTGTCCGAAAAGAAAGCAAACATCACATCAAAGTTTAATTATAAATATTTAAGGAATTTAAGTTCTTGTTAGTTGTGAAAATTGTATAAAAAAAAGCATCAAGGTTTTTGGAATGTGTCGTACAAATTTAAATTGTGGGAGTAATTACTATTTTCAAAAGGCAAAATGTCAAATTAGAAGATCAAGAAAAGACTCCTAACAACACATGGAATGACTCAATTTCTCCATATTTAGAAGTCATATTAGTTTCTTTATATCGTTCCAATTTTATCCGATATCAGTAACACCGAAGATTGGGGCAACGTCCTTTTTTTGAACAAGTCCCTACCGTATAATAACCCGCCTTTGACACCTCTCCACTCCACACAACGTCTTTTTTCTTGTATATAAAAGAACTTCTTCTTTATCTCTCTCACCCCATTCATTTTTCACTCTTTCCCAAAGCTAAAACACTCATAAAGCTAGACAAAAATTTCATTTTTCTTTTTATTATCATGGCCTCATTTTCTCCTCCCTTGAAAGATGAGCTAGACATTGTAATACCCACAATTAGAAACTTGGATTTTTTAGAAATGTGGAGGCCATTTTTTCAACCATATCATCTCATTATTGTTCAAGATGGTGATCCCTCAAAAACAATTATGGTCCCTGATGGCTTTGATTATGAACTCTACAATCGCAATGATATAAACAGAATCTTGGGTCCAAAGGCTTCTTGCATTTCCTTCAAAGACTCTGCTTGTCGTTGCTTTGGTTATATGATCTCCAAGAAGAAATATATCTACACTATTGACGATGATTGCTTTGTAAGTTCATTCTATCTTTTATTTCCCTTGTCTTTGGCAATCTTTATATTTTTTCCACGGGAAATATAATGCATGCATGCCGGTGGTATACATAAGATTTTGTACAAGCGATATGAGGTATAATATTATAACTTTACTTGTATGTGATTTTAGGTTTGGAGCTGTAGAGGTTTTAAAGCTTTACTTCATATCTCAAGTTGACATTTATGCATGGATTCGAGTTATATACGATGGTGTAAAACTATTCTTACAATACTCGTGTAGTTTAAAGTTAGCATATTTACTAGGTTACGAGTTAATGCTTATTATAAATATTTGCTTGTAATTAATTGCCTTCTAAGTGACTTGATTGTGTAAATATTTTTTGCGTCGATGATACATAGAACTTAAACTCACTTTACATTATGTCCAAACTATGTAGGTCTATTATATTATATGTATACACACACATACACACATAGCTCTTGAAAAAAAAAAACCGTGTGTGTTTGTGTGTATATACATATCATATGGAGTAATACACCTACATAGTTTGGACACGATGTAAAATTAGTTTAAGTTCTATGAAGCGTCGATGTAAATATATGTAATATTGAATGTTCGGCAAAGTGATATAGAATGATTTCTTGTATAGGTAGCAAAGGATCCAAGTGGAAAAGATATCAACGCATTGGAACAGCACATAAAGAACCTTCTGTGCCCATCAACTCCTTATTTCTTCAACACACTGTACGATCCATTCAGAGATGGAGCTGATTTTGTGAGAGGATACCCTTTTAGCCTTCGTGAGGGTGTCCCAACAGCAGTGTCTCATGGCCTATGGCTCAACATCCCTGATTATGATGCACCTACACAACTTGTCAAGCCTCTTGAGAGGAACACTAGGTTTGCTTTTTCTTTAAGTTATATGCACTGATAGTTCAAATTCATTGTCTACTTTTTCTAGTCGGTGTACATAGATTATATACGCTTATACATATATTATACATGCATATACATTCATGTTGGCTATTTTTAGTTTAAGCGGTTGAGTGTACGACTGTTTAGGTTAGTTCTTTAATTTTTGTTTTACACTTATGAATGTACTTTAACTTGTTATAGCAGGTAATGTACCATTTATATAATGTTATCAATCAAGATTATTTAGGAGAGCGGGCCGAAGATACTGTGTTATTATACAACCTATCTTACTTTTACCTTCCATTGTACTTTGGGGCTATCATTAGCAAATCGTCTTGTATTTATATTTGACCCTAAAAGAACTTTGACGTGAAATATAACAAAGTGAGTAAGTTGAAAACATAGTCATAAGTAGACAGGTGAATTTAGACCTTTTTTCCAAAAGCATTTTCGCACATGGAATCCACAAATACATGCTGAAACTCCCTTAAAGTCGCAGACCAATACAAGATAATTTGCTGATAGCAACAGTATAAATAATCCTAGAATATAATAGGGGATAAAATTAAAACATTTCATATAGTAGAAATGTAAATATGAACCTTTTCGCTGCTAGTCACAAAAAAACACATGCAGCTGCTTTTAAGCGACTTATATGAATAATAATTCTTACATATAACCTCTTTAATTTATTAATTTGAGTGGCAAGTTTGATTTAAGAAAGTTTCTAGTTTTTTTTTATTTATTTAACTTGTGGGGAACATCTGTTGAACAGGTATGTTGACATGGTGTTGACAATCCCAAAGGGTACTCTGTTCCCAATGTGTGGTATGAATCTTGCATTTGATCGTGACCTTATTGGGCCTGCTATGTACTTTGGACTCATGGGAGATGGCCAGCCCATTGGACGTTATGATGATATGTGGGCTGGTTGGTGTTGCAAGGTTTGCACCTTTTCTTTTGTTAATTTCTGAAGGGTGAAATTCAAAAATAGCCAGATTTACAAGTGGTAATTGAAAAATAACCATCATTTCAAAAGTAATGAAAATTTAGCCACTTTTCATGTAAAGATAAATATGAACGAAAATACTGTTCAAAATCCAGAAAATATTCCAGCATAATATACTGGAGTTTTTAGTATAATATACTGGAGTTCCAGCATAATATGCTGCAAGTTCATACACAGGTGCTCCAATCTCCAGTATATTATGCTAGGACTTTCCTTGTGCTGGATTTCTAGAATAATATGCTGGAAGTTCATATACAGGTGCACCAATCTCCAATATATTATGCTGGAACTTTCCGTGTTGCAGCAAAATAGTGGCTATTTTCAATTACTAGTCCGGAAACTGTCTAGCCTATGCTATTTTCACATTTCTGAATTATATCACTACTCCGTCCAAATTTGTTTGTACATTTTACTTCTCGAGAGTTAATTTGATTAATTTTAAAAATAAATCGTACTAAATTATTAACTTTTGATCAAAATTTAGATACTTAGAAATACATATAGGTTACAGTCAATTGTGGTTTCTCTTATATCAAAATGACAAAAGATATATTTTGCAATGTTAGTTAAGCACTTATAGTTTTACTCTGGAGAAGCACAAAGTACAAAGATCTGCGAACATAAGAAATATCCACTCGTTTCAATTTATGATAATTTTTCATCTATAATGTATTTAAAAGAATGATATATTTCTACATATGTGCACCATTTAACTTTAATCACTTAAACTTCTCATTTTCTATTAATGACATACTTTTTATAGTCATATAAATGCCATGCATGATATGCTTAAGAATTAAGATCACAAGCTCCAAACATCTTTATTTTTTCAATTTCTTGCCCAATCAATTATCCTCATATAAATGGAAACGGAGGGAATAATATCTTTGGATAGCAAGATCAGAAAATTTGGATCGCGCGTTGATTGAACTATTTTTACAGGTAATATGTGATCACTTGGGATTAGGAATCAAGACTGGATTACCCTACATCTATCACAGCAAGGCTAGCAATCCATTTGTGAACTTAAAGAAAGAATACAATGGTATTTTCTGGCAAGAAGACATCATTCCATTTTTCCAGACATTAACCCTCTCCAAGGAGTCTACTTCTGTCCAAAAATGCTATGTTGAACTTTCAAGGCTTGTCAAGGAAAAGCTTGGGAAAATAGATCCTTATTTCCTTAAGCTTTCAGATGCGATGGTCACTTGGATTGAAGCTTGGGACGAGCTCAACCCAGCTTCTAAAGATTCTTCCAAAATTCCCAATGGCACTTCCAAATGAAAATGTCACTCACTAATTGTGACATTTTAGTTTCAAGTATTAATAGTCTTCGATTTACTTAGTTTTGCAGTTGCATTGTTTTAATATTTCCTCTTGGACTTCTAGGTTTAGTCAAATTAATAAGGGGATGATATCAGTAGATATGATCCTCCTCCATTGTTTTTTAGTAGACTGCTAAGAGCCACAATGTAGGGCTTGTATACTGGTTTACCCTAGATTTCTAGTTTTTTTTCTTGAACTTGTTATGAGAATGAGATCTAGACTTCTATTTTGCTATTAAAGTTTTTTTTTTTTTGGTTTATCCATCATGTGTCCAAAACTTAATTAATCTGGATTCATGCCATAGAAAACTTACTGTGACCAGTGGCAAAACCGGAAATTTACAAGGAAATTCGGAAAAAAACTTAGGATGTCACAGTTGGGAAAGTATGACCTAACGCAACTTTTAAACCCCCTTCACTACAATACTTGAATATTTCTTCTTGTCAAAGAGGATTCAACAGCTCATATATAGCCAAAAAAAAAAAAAAAAAAAAAAGATCATTGATGCCCTGTTTGCATAAAATTAATTTTCCGATGAAGGAATTTTCAGGTTGTCATGTTGGAGATGTGAATAGTCCTCTCACGAGCAGACCAAAGTAGTCATCGGTTTAATTGATTTTAGATTTAACACAGTAGTTTAATAAATCAAAGGGGTGGTTGATCTGATAATTTTCAAACTTGACAAGGAAATCAGCTTCAGTAATTTCTGATATCAATGAAGATTTAGATTGAATCATGGCAGATACTGTACACATTATTTGAACATTTGTCCAATATAAGGCATCTCAGCCTATATCTAGTGGGTTGTGATCTTTTTTTCCCTTTCCCTTGGGAAGTTTCAAATCTTAATTTCTCAACCTGCTGGGTATATAAGGTCTGGTATTTGTAGTTGTTGAAGGAAAGATTCCGTACTATTCAAGTGTATAAATTTATCGATTGATGACTTGGCAATACCAATTAAAATTCTGGAGATGTATTCGTTTTCACAGTAGATCTCATTCATTTTCAATTTAATGTGGGAAAGACTAAGGCTGTTGCATTTGCTGGACTCAGTATTCAAAATCCAGGAGTCATCACTATCGCGAATGCAGTTTTTGGTTCAGACCCACCAATAAATCCTGATGTTCTCATAAAAGCATTCCAAGTTGACAAGAAAGTTGTGGATTACCTCCAACTGCTTGTGTCACATAAATAAGTAATCGTGACGACTGGTTTTCCTCTCCATTTTAGTATGATGTATTATTATTGGATGAGGATATGTTATGGCCTGTTATGGAGTAATAATAATTTGTTACTCATGTTTAGGGAGGCAACAAACCTTTAGAAGCATTAGTTCCAGAAGAATACCAACTACATCAAGAAACAACTTAGTTATATTTTACAGGTACAATGAGGGGTGCAGCAATTTTTTCTTTCTCAATTTTATCAACTTTGAAAATCCTTGAGCTTTAATCACTGACTTCACAATACCACTAATCAAAATTCAGCATTTAGATGCAGAGAAAGAGAAACCCCAGTCCATAATCTTTCTTCTCTCTGTTTTGTTGGAAACAACAGTTACTGCAGCTTTACAGCTGACATAGTCATAACAACTATCAACAGTATGACAATCTAAGTTGCTCGGACACGGGTGCGGATCTAGAGGTCGGATCCTTCGAGATGTAAATTCTAAGATTCGGGATACGGATCCTAGTATAATACGGGTGCGGGGATCCGGCTAAAAATAATTCAAAAATATAAAAGTATCTCTAAATTATAAGAAATTATGTGTAATACTAACGTATAGCTTGTAAAGTGTGAATTCTTTTTTTATTCTCAAGTTGTAGATAAGTAAATGATTGATTTCCTAGATAAGGTATGCTATTTCTTCAAACTTACCCTAGTTTTGGTTCTGATTTTGGGAATCAGATTGTATCTCACCTCGAATTTTTCCGCCTGTCGTGGTCAAAGTACCCAAAATTGTTTGACCAAATCCAAGTACGGATCCCATACTCACACCCATACTAGTGTCATGTCGACACGGGTGCGGCACCTAAACTGTCGTGTCGGAGCAACTTAGATGACAATAGGCTAATGTTTTTACATAATAGTACTAATTTCTTTTTTTCTAAGAAAACGAATGGAGAACAAGAAATAATATGTTACACAGAGAACTTTTAAATCAGAGTAATATCAAAACTAAAACAAAAGGTAATAAAGGAAAGTGAAAATAGAAATGGCCTACCTCCTTTAAGATTCAAAAAACCGACACAAATGAAATATCTACCTCCCAAGTCCTACAAGCATTTTCACAATCCTCTCTGCAAGGAAACACAGAAGAAACAGATTATGAGAGGATAAAAAGCAGCACAAGACCAGTTTGGCCAAGATATAATTTATGAACCAGGCAGTGGCGAATGCAAGATTTTGCACAAGTGGTGTCGGTCTATTGTCGCGATTTGTCTTGTAAGAGGTTTGGATCTGAGCTTTTGGTGGATTTAAGGTTTTATTTCAGTCTAAAATTGATAGTTAACATCATATTATTTTCAAGTGGTTGCAACCTATTGTATGTATACTTATTATTTTTTTCAATTTTTTCTTTTCATGAAGCGGTGTCAGATGACACCCCTTAATAAAGAGTATCTCCGCCATTGGAATCAAGATCTTCAATCTTCTTACGTTTGGCTCCTGGCTCATCACTATCCTTAAGGCTGCTAAATGCATGTACTGCTTTGGTACCCAAAAGAGACACATGCTTACCGGTAATCTGGCGACCTGCCCTGAGTTTTGGGCCCCAATGCTTTTCGGGATTAGGAAGGAAACGAGCAACCTTCTTGGCCTGTGCCTTGCTAAAGGATGCAACAGCCCGAGCAAAATTAGCCTGAAATGAACATGAAGCTGAGTACAAGTTCCAGACGTAAGACCAAAAAAAGGACATATCAGCTGATGTGTTCCCGAAGAATCCAAAGATACAGTGAACTAAAGAACAAAGTGAGCTACAACACAAGCAGACACGTGTAAATAAGTGTACGCATATTTGCATGGATAAGGACATTGCTAAGTTTCTTAATGCATATGTTGTTATTTACCTCAAAATCCTTTTGATCTCACTGAAATGATTATATGACAGCAAGTTTGACATTAAAGAAACTCAAACTTAATTAGAATCATCGTAACTTTATAACGAGTTTGAAAGAATGCGGTAGCAATTCTAGTAATGGCGCACTCAGATGATGGCCTAACATTTGAATTCTAGTGAAACAGAAGTCACAGGAGACATCAGTGAGTCAACAAACTTGACCAGAACAGTTGGAGGATGAGAATACAACACCTTGATCTTTATATTACGCTCCTAACTAGCTTTGGAATAGTATATATTTTACAAATTCAACAAACTAGGATACGAAACTATCCTACTACAAAGCACAAAACAAGTGGGGAAAAAAAGATAAAGCATGGAGTAAGCGTTCTGGCACTGTAGCAGTAAATAGCTAGGGAAACAAAAGGTCAAAATCACCTGCAGAACAGGTTCCTTAGCAAGAATCATACTTCCAGCCTGGTTAGACGGTTGAGCTTTGACAGGATGATTTTTGACCTGCACATCGAATTTTATTAATTCTTCCACTATAACATGGAGAGCAAGTAAACGGTTGCTCATACAATTATCAGATTAGGCTCTACAAGAGAAACAATCTAACACAACTCAAATTATCATACAGAAACTAGTTGCAATGAAGTGTTAGGAGTTACTTCTCCTTTATCCTTCAGGGCTGCTTTTTCTTTTGTTCGTTCTTTTTCTCTTTGTCTTTTTTATTTTTGTTTTAATAGGTAAGTATTTCATTGATCAAGAGAAAAAACCAAACACAAAGATGGTGCTTGGCATTACATAGTCTGGCAACCCTCTAAACAAAAACAAAAAGAAGGGTTCCCATCTCTACTTTTTTTTTTCTTTCCTATCTTTAAGGCAAGAAACAAGTAAGAGCTGACGGAAACAAGCAAACAAGGTACAGTTACCCAGCAACGCATGATATCCCAAATGGTATGCATAGGAGCATCTGTTTTCAATCCCAAAGGATTCACATGAGTCCCCGATATGCGATATCCAGCATTGATTACAGCAGAGCGAAACATAACTGCTGAGGGAGAAGTGCATTTCAGTGTTGCGGAGATATTGTGCAAACTCAGAAACAGAGGAATATCAGGTAATTCCTGCAAAAAATCACACTTTATTGTTTAGGAATCCAATAAGAAGTCAAGCAGATCAGAAGTTCCCCTCCCCCAAGATAACCATTGAAAGTGTTTCTCCATCAATATGGTCTGCTATAAACAAGTGGTCACCAGGAACCACTGCTTTCCTTAAAGATTTTGTACAATGAGCATAACAGCATAAAAAGTAATGTTGTCACTTGCCAAAATAATCAGGGTATATATGAAAACAGAAAATAAAAGTTTAAAGAACAGAAGTGAAATAAGAATAATATCAATTATAGGCAAACCACACCTCTGAAATTGCTGTCAAAACAGCACAGATTCGATTATAAGCTGGATATCGTTCCTTAATTGATTTCACATCAGCAAGTATGGAAGCTACCCATTCTTGATCATGGATGGGCGCAGACCATATCGGTCCACCCATATTGAATTTTTTCCCACAATCACTGCACTCTTGAGGAACAGCTGGGCCAAATCCAGGGTGGTATCTGAGGCTGTTATCCTAAAGAAGCAGAAAAGATTCAATATAAATGTGGGTATCCACTTAAGTGTACGTTAAAACAATAACTCGTGAGGATTACTTATTAACAAATTCTATGTACAGAACCCATGATCTAAAGAAAAAAGGAGATGCCTTCTCCACTGCACGTATAACAGTCTCAAGGTTTCCTACAACTTTCTCCCAGGTAGTAGGCGAACCATCATTCAGCCAAAGGAACCATTATTCTTAATCTTCCACAATAGACCAAGAAAAAACACAGGTAAGCAGTTTTAATTGTTTAAACAGTTCTAATATGTTCAGCATTCTCTTCCCTATAATTGGACTTTCACACAAGGTCAGTTCATAAATCAAGTCAAGTACTATCAAGTCTGTCAAAGGAAAAAAAGGACTTTCATCTACTTTGTTTGACAGATTTGAATAGTACTACTTAGTTTGATTTATGAATTGACCTCTCTCTTTTCTCTTCAATATCTCTCCATTCTTTCTCCTTTCACCCTTCTCCCCTTCTGGTACTACATCAAAAAATAACAAGAGTTT